TTTTTTATTTTAATTCTATAACTAAATAGAATTAAAATAAAAAAATTTTTATTAAGTTTGGTTTAATAGTTGTCAAGTAGGGATGAAAAAAAAACAGTTTAAAACACTTTTTCACCTGTTTAAAACATGTGATGATTAAAGTCCGAATACTGTATCAAATAATGATCACCTGTTTTTTAATTTATCATCACCTGTTTTTAATTACGTAATAAAAAACTTTTTCCATCCCTATTGTCAAGATATTTGAATTTAAAGTCTGAAAAAATTTTACTTAGAAACAAGATGTTTGGTTTCCCCCCATATAAATAAGAGTTGACTAAAGATGAAATTAGACTCTGAAGTAGTTTAATTCATAAAAATACAGTACGTCACTTATTTCAACTGAAATAAGATGCTTGCAAGCAAATTAAATTTTCAAGTACATTTATTAAAACATCAAACTTATGTATTGGGAGTTTCAAATTAATGATTTGGCGGATAAAATAAGCGACGTATTTATTCAAAATAAATTACCTGCAAAGTATATTTTATTTTAAGAATGTGCTTATTTGTATAGATACTTTTTTTTTTATCATCAAAAATAATTTTCTTTTCTAATTTTGAAATTTAAAATATAAATAAGATTTTTAAACTCCTACTTAGGCCGTTTTTAGTTGATTATTAGGTTAACGTCATCCTCCCTTTGCTTAACTGCACTCCCCACGAAAATTAAACAACGCAGCATAAACTTCATTAATACGTGATTAATGTTGACCAATGAGATTTGATCAAATATTCTTGGGACAATATCCCCCCATACCTGAGCCTAAATATTGACGTTAACCTAATAATCAACTAAAAACGGCCTTATTTTTAAATAAGTTAATTTTGGAACACCCGATCGAAAGGTTTCAAATTAATAATTTGATACCTGATTTCGGATAAGTGACGTATTTATTCGAAATAAGTGACGTATTTATTCGAAATAAGTGACAAATTACAGACCTCCTAAATGCAACTCGATAAACCCTATGTAAAAATTCAAACGTGTATTTAGATATTGCATTTAGAGATAGATGTAATAATCTAAAAGTCTTATATTATTTGGTCAAAATAGAGGTGTGCATTTAGGGAGGATTTTTATAAGAGTTGCATTTAGAGGTCGTATCGTACTTATTTTTAAAAATAAGCTAATTTTGAAACACCCTATTGGCAAAATTTCGAAAATCACATGTTATAACGTTTCTATAAAACTTGATTTTTCTTATGAGTGATGATGCCAAGACTTCAGGCTTTGAAATTTATAATTCATCAAATAAAATATATTAGCGTTAGATTTATAAATTGATCTCTCGTGTTATAATAAAATTCATTAAACGTTTTTATCATTTCGGCCTTCACATTCGAAAAGTAAAGAAAAATAAATAAAACATTTACTTCTAAATTGTATTGTTCCCTAAACTTTAAATTTTTAAAAATATAATTTTAAATTATGCTAATTAAAAAATTTATCTAAAAAAAAAAATATCTTAAAATTTTTCTTATGATAAAATTTTCAAACAACTCTTATAAAGACCCTTTAGCTTTAATGTTAACGAAACAGTTTAGGAATGCGTCACCGATGAAAATTTTCTTATTTTTCTTTACTTTTCGTATGCGAAAGCCTATAATACTAAAACTACGTAAAGATCGATTTACACATGGGATTTTCGCCAATTATTACCGTTACATCATTTACAAAAAATTTGCGTGAAGATGAACTAAACTCGATGGTCGTGTGATTATATGTTAACTATTTGTAGTAATTGTAATTTTCTATATCGATATGAATTATTACTGTTAACAGGTCTAGCCAATACCAATAAATCAAAATCAGGTGATCAATATATATATATATATCGATATATAAAAAAAGAAATCAGATATGTACGTACCCAAGATTATAACGATAATTTTTTTTATAGAAACACAATAATGTAAAAGATCCGAAATGTACGACTTAAGTACGTTGATTTAAAAAATAGATCTAAGATGCTTTTTTTTTAAATTGATATTTTATTGTTTTGTACTACTCTAAGACCAATTTAAACCATGATTTTCAAACAATTTAGCGTTAGTAGACATTTTTGCATAAGTCATAAGATTTGATAATAAATAAAGGTAAAAGAAAAAAATTTATTCTCGTAACATTATTTCTTTTCTGCTTGAAATTCTACAAAAATTATCTGTATTTTAAGAAGTTTAGAAATTTTAGTAATATTAATTAAACAAATAAATACACGCAACGATGGGATGCTTTGCTTCTAAAAACAAAGGCTTAGTTGATGACACTTTAGAAACATCCAGTACTCATGAAAAAAGAGAAAATTTTCCTTTCCCTCATAAAGAAAATAGCTGGGACAGATTAACTTTACAATATTATTTGTTTCGTTATATTTGGCAATCCAATTTTTCATCACCTATCGATGAATATATTAAGACCGGGGGTGTAAAGGTTTTAGACGTTGGGTAAATATTTTGAATCATTTTCAAATTTTTTATTTATTTTTTGATTTTTACGCTAATACAGTATATAACTTCTTTATAAAAGAGGTGGAAGTGGCCCGTGGGTAATAGAGATGGCCCGTGAATATACAAATACTTTATTCACAAAAATAGACTCGAAAGCCTCTCTACAAAATAGTGAGACTCTTCCAAATCTTACTATAAAAGAATATAATCTCTTAGAATTGGGCTTGGGCTCTCTTCCATTTGAGGATTCAACATTTGAATTTATACATGTTGGCTTCTTAGCTTATGAATTGCCTGAATCCCAATTTGAAGCGCTTGTAAATGAACTCATAAGAGTTTTAAAACCTGGTGGTTATTTAGAGATTATGGATACTGATTTTGAAGGTGGAAATGAAGGGCCCTCGGCTCATCGTTTGATGTCCTCTTGTAATTATAATTTTTATTTTCAACTTTTGATTTCCTATTACTTTAATTATATCAATCAATTAATTTATTTTTTATATACAGTACGATCATATTATATATCTAAAGGTATCAATCCAATGATAACAAATAAACTAGAACCACTAATGAAATCTACAAAAGGCTTATCCGATATTACCGTTCAAAGGACACTTCATGCTTTGGGAAATTGGGATGAAAGAATCGGTGAACTTGCTTTAGATAATTGGTTACAATTTTTAAATGATATTAAATATTCTATCGCTCCGTTTATGGGCATTTCTGATACTGAGTATAGATACTTGGTTCGTGAATTCGGTAGTGAAGTTAATGTATTCCAAACTTATTGGATCAGTACTAGAGTTTATGGTCGCAAGATTCAATAATTACTATTTATTTATTATAATGAATGTGTTATATTATTAATTATGTACTGTAATATATTAACTTATCATTATAATGAATTACTTTCTTCTCTTAATTATGTGTTGATTAGGCAAAATTGTATTTTAAAAATAGATAAATCCTAGAATAAAAAGTAATACGCATTTATCATTACTATAAATATTTTTAGGTTGGATTTTCTAATTACTTCATGTTTACTGTAAATATTACGTACTTTGTAAAACGTGAGTCACCTGTAATAACCTTTTTTATTACGTAAAATATTGCCTTTTATAGACTTCTTTTATTTTTATTACGTATACGTAAGATCGGAAATCTGTACTACGTATATGGGGCGTTCAAGTGTATCACCAATTTTCTTTCTAAACAATAATGACGTAGTAAATGTTTATTTACGCATCTACGTAGTACGTAAAGCATAATTATTTAGGGATGTTAAAACGAAAAGTCATATTTCACTGAAGAACGACTTTGGAACAAGTTAGAAATTGAACCTTAATTATATCATTTGAAGTTTTATTCGAGTTTCAAGCTTAAGTTTCAAACCTGGTTTTTATTTGCTTTTTCCATACACACGTGTATATCACGTGTGTATTACATTTCGTATCATAAATATTAGTTTTAGCGTTATTAACACATTAATATTAATTAATTTGAATAATTTGAAACAAAAATCTATGTAACAGTCATGGATTATGTTTATTAATTTACTATCAGATTATCAGCTATGTAAATATCTTGCTATATGAATTTAAATGTTTGGATGTATTCAACTATATTCTGTTTAGTGAACCATGTATAGGTAACAAATTTCTTATTTCCCCCGATAATTACTTATCTGACTGGGGTGTTCCACGCCATATGATACATATACAGTACAAACATAGTGCAGCACTATATGATAAGTGCACTAAGATTTTTGAGATAAATAAATTTATGTCAATCTGAAAAAAGTTTAACAGTAATTTATTATAAAAAAAATCGGTGTATTTTTAAAACGTTCTAACTTCCGTTCTAATGAAACAAATTAAATTTTAGCTTGTATATGATATGTTGAGAGTATGCTTTTAAAATTATGTGGAGACATTTTCTAATTTATTTTATTAATTTAATTAAATTTATAAATTAATAATAAAATATTCATTATTTATATAGAGACCTACTAAAATTTATATATTAATATTAAATATGGCCACATTATTTTAAAATCATACTCTTAACATATCATATACAAGTTACAGAATTTAATTTGCTTCATTAGAACAGAAGTTGGAGCGTTTTACAAATGCACCGATTTTTTATAATAAATTACTATGTTCAAAATTTTTTAATAAATTGATCAAAAATCTTATTTATCATATAGTGCTGCACTATGTTTGTATATCATATGGCGTGGAACACCCCATTCTCTGACATAATTACTTCTCCGACACAACCACGTCCCTGGCAATTACTTCCCCGACACATTCATTTCCCCGACATTCATTTTCCCGGCACAGTGTCGGGGAAATGAATGCGTTGAGGAAATGAGTGTTGGGGATATGAAAGTAATTGTCAGGGAAGTGGTTGTATCGGAGAAGTAATTGTCGGGGAAATAGTTGTCGGGAAATTCAATGTCGGGGAAATGATTAGGACTCTTTTGGATCTTGTATTTAGTATTTTTGTGTATTTTTGTATATTATTGGGTAGCATCAGAATTTTAGTATAATAGTTATTTATATGATCATATTTTCATTATCTTCTCTATTTTGTTAGATATTTTCTTATTTTTTCTGATTATAAGACCTACTTCTATTATAAAACTTTTAGTTTATTTCTTTTATGCTTACTTAAAAACTTATGAAGTCTTTATAGTCTCTTATCATATAGTCTTTTTCTTTTTAAAAAATATAATATTTATTTCTATATATCTAATTATACTTATGTTTTTTTCTTCTGCAATTTATACTACATACATTATTTACTTTGAATATTGTATATTGCTATTTTGAGTATAAGTTGCTAATATTTTAGGGGGTTTACAATTATTACAAATAGAAGTCCAAAATGAAACTATTACATATAGAGTCTATATGTAATAATTTTCATTTTGGGCCTCTATTTGTAATTATTTTAAATTTTAGCAAAAGATAGTTTAGATATTTCTGGCGTACGCGAAATGATGACATGTGAAAAGGTCATCCAATTATGGAGGTTTGCAAAAAAGTGCGACTCAGAGATAAATTAATCACTAAAGAGGTCAAGAAGTCACACCTTTTCTGCAAACTACTATAATGAACGAATCAGATTTGCATTGAAAAAGCTGTCGCGGATTAAATCAACAATAATGTTTCAAATTTTCTGCAGGTTTTTTTATTCATTAAAATTTTAATATCTTATAAAATCGTACATCTATGAGTGATAAAGAACCTTTTGTTCTTTACAAACGATGTAAAATTTCAAATAACATAAAATGATAAATTAGAAACTGAAGTTAATAAAAATTCACATAGTTCTGGAAAAATTCTAGAATTAACGCTGATAATGATGTAGTGCATGGCATTTACGAAGGTGATTGTAAAATTTATATTTGATTTTTGACATAAAAACAATAAATTTTATTAATATTTATGATTTACATTGTATAGTATTTACATAATCCTCATAATCTACAGAGATTAGGAAAGTTAAAGTCAGATCCTGTCCGATTCAAACATTGACGCTTTTTATTGTTAATGTATCACATAATTAGTCGGTATTAGGGATGGACTCGGTCGGTTACGGTCGGTTATCGGTCGGTTATTACCGGCTAGCCGCTCATAGCCGGCTAGCCGCGGCTATAGCCGATCAATTATTTAATTATTACTTCATCAAATATCTAATTACGTGACAAACCAACTGCTGAACTGAATGTTAGTTTATTCATATCAGCGGATCTGCATATCATCTGATAAATAGAAAAACCCATCAGTTATAATTTTGGCCAAATTTGCAGATCATTTGGCCAGATCTAAAGGTCAAATGATCTGCAAATTTGACCAAAATTATAACTGATATATTTATCAGATGATGCAGCTCCGCTGACACTACTGAATTGATGAAATTGTTAAAATTAATTTCACCAGTATCACTAGTTGAGGCCTAGAAATTAACAGAAGCCCAAGAGTAATTGAGAGAATAGATAGGTATGTTGAGTAAAAGATCGAATTGTTATTTAGAATAGATTTAGTCAGTTATTTTGCAGTTTAGCCGACAGCTATCTCGTGATCTAGTAACCTGAATTGGATGATTTTGATACCATTCGATTCGTCTTAACGAGATGAATTGAATGGTATCAAACTATTCAATTTGGATCACCGGATCACTAGATAACTATCAGCTAAGCCGCAAAATAACTGAACAAGTCTATTTTTAATTATTATATCGGATATGCATATAATAAGTGAAAAGTAACTACAGTGCATGATACTTAAAACTACAGTATTTTATTTTCTAATTATTAGTAGTTAATACATAGTAAATTTGAAATTTTATTATTAAGTAAAGTTAAGCAGATCAAAATATATATATCTTGTAAGTTTTATTTAAGATAGCTGATATTTATATCCAATTTTGTTATTCATACTTCCTATAGATTAGAATTTTTTTTAACTTTAAAATATCTGAAAATTAGCTTATTAACATTTTTTTAAAACTTTAAACAGAGATATTTTGATAACTACTAAATCAAATTTGATAAATTTTTTTTATTTAATTCTAAAATTCAAATAAAAAAAGTTTATTAATTTTTGGTTTTATAGTTATTAAGTTTGTAATTATTTATAAAATTTTTTATTTGTTTTATTATGATATAAATAATTAATTAAAGGCTGTTAAATAAATAACAGATTCAATTTCTAATAAAAACTATTAATAATTTTTATTATTTAAAATAATTTTTACTTTGTATATTTATAACTGATTAAAAAAACAAATATAAAAATAAAATTTAGATAAATTATTAAGGAAAAACCTAATAGAAAAAAATTTAATTTAAAATATAAATATATAATAAAAGAAAGATATATATAAATAAATAAATAAATATAAATAAAATAATATATATTAAATAAATATACTATATAAAATAAATAATAATTTTAAATAAAAAATATATATAAATTAAATAATTTAAATAAATATAAATAAAATAATATATATTAAATAAATATACTATATAAAATAAATAATATTTTTAAATAAAATTACTTAATATTTTTTGATAACCAACTATGTAAACATAAACATGCTCTTGCAGATTCACTATTTAATCTATTTCTTGATTTGTTAATTATTTGACCTGCAATTGAAAAAAGTTGTTCACATGGAACTGAACTAGCTTGAATACTTAAATAATTATAAGCAAGTTTTGAAAGTGCTGGATATTCTGCTGTATGAGTATTCCACCAATTTAAAAGATTTATAGTTTCATCTGCTTCTGCAGATAACCAATATTTTTTAACTTCATCATCTAATATTTGTGTTTGTTGTGATGTATATTTTAATTTTTGATAAAAACTTGATAATTTTTTAGGTTTAGTTACTATTAAAGGTAATTGTTGATCTATTTTTTCTCTAATTGGTGTTAAAATTTCTTCAATACTCATATTAGGAAAACAATATTTTTTATATCTAGGATCCAAAAAAGCAGAAATATGTAAAGATTCAGTTATTAAATTAAAATATTCAATAAATTTAGATAACATAGCATTAACAACATATTGTAATTGAAAGTTTTCACCTTTATCTTGTTCTAAATCTTTCTAAGAGCTAATAAAATTATTTGTGCATGTGCAATTGTTGGATAAGATTGTGATGAAAGTTCAATAGTTGCTTCATTAAATTGTTCTAATAAATGAACTAAGCTTTCATAAATTTTCCATTCTTCTTTGTTTGGCATATAAGTTTTTAGATTTGGATGTTTAATTAATGAAATTTCAATAGATTCATTGAGTAAACATGCTCTTTTAATCATATGATAAGTTGAATTCCATCTAGTTTTACAATCTAAAATTGGTGCTAAAAATGATTGTTTATCTAATGTTTCAATATTTTTTAAATCTTCAAAAATTTTAGTTGATTTGCGAATAGTTTTAATTAATTTTCTTAGCTTTTTAATTGGATTTTCTAAATTATTTAAACCAGCTAAAACAACTAAATTAAGTATATGAGCTATACATCTATAATGACAAAAATTATTAGAATTTAACTTATCTTGTAAATAATTTGCTGCAGAAATCATATTAGCACCATTATCAGTAGTTAATGAAATAACTTTAGTTTCAATTTCAAATTCTTCAAGTAAATTATATATTTTATCAGCAATAATTTCTCCAGTATGAGAACCTTTAAATTGAAATATATCTAATACAAAATGTTGTAAATTCCAATTTTTATCAATAAAATGAATAGTTATAGCTAAAAAAGATTCCATTTTTAAAGATGTCCAAAAATCAGCTGTAAGAGCAACTTTACTTATAATATTACTAAGATAATTTTTTATCAAATTTCTTTGTTCATAAAATTGACTTATAGCTAAATTATAAATAGCTTTACGTTTAGGAACTTGATAAAATGGATCTAATTTTTTTATCATATTTTGAAAAGCTTTATTTTCTACTACATTAAATGGCTTAAGAGCTAAAATAATCCATTCAAAAATAGCTTGAGTTTTTTCCATTTGAATTTCTGATGAATATTTTTTAATTACAAAATTTAATTGTTCTTTGTTTAATAATGTTTTATGTTGTGATTGTAAATGAGATCGAATAGAACTAGTTGCTGTTGTTGGTGCAAATATTTTAGAACAATAAGAACATTTGCGAGTTTCTTTATTTACATGCTTCCAAACATCTGATTCAGCTTTAACAACTAATTTAAGTTGTTGAGATAATTCTAAATTTTTATTCAAATCTTCTTCATTTATTGTAGTAATTTCTTCAAGACTTAAATCTTGTATACTTTGTATAATTTCTTCATCATCTTGTTCAATTTCAATATTATCATCATCTAAATCACTAATATAAATATCATCATCAAGTTGTATTTGCAAAGCTTCTTCTTCACTACATTCTTCAGGTGTATTATGTGAATTATTTGAACTAGTAGACATTTTTAAATAATAAATATAAATAAATAAAAATAAAATTAATAAAAATATTATGTAAATAAATAATAAAAAATAAATTATATTATTATAAGAGTAAAGTTATAGTAGTTAAGGTTATAATAATTAAGTTGTAATAGCTAAAGTTACGATAGATAAAGTTGCAATAGTTAAAATAAATTATTGCAAATATAATAATTTAAAATTTAAAAAAATTTAATTTCGGATTATGTATTTTATTTATATTATATTTTATTTATTTATATATAATTTGTAAATTATAATTTTAATTAAAATTATATATATGAATTAATTTATTAAAATAGTGTTTTAATATTTTTGCGTACTAATTAATCAAAAATATTTTGCTATAGTTAGAAATAATATATTTCTAAAAATTGCGCAATTATGAAAAGTTTGTGACTTGCATATGATTTACTTGATTACTATGTATCAAATAGCAATTTATTAAAAATACATTACAATTAGCATCATTTTATAATATATACGGTATATAAATTAGGAAAATAATTTAACAATTGCGCAATCTGATATATAACGATTAAGTAAATCACATGTGAGTTACAAATTTTGTTTATTAATTATAAATTATCTTCAGGCTGTAATACATGTAGATCATATTTTTAGTCTATCAAAATATATAATCTCTAAGCTATAGCGATAGTAAAATATTTTAAATACTGAAATGCAATCAATTAAATTTTATTGAGTAAATCACATATGAATTAATGTAGATTACAAACTTCGTAGATTTTGCATGACTTTACTATCAGAGTATCATAAAATTGATTAATACATAATGATAACACAGCTACTCTGATATGTAAATAATCAGTACGTAGAACTAATCAGAAGTAGTAGGGAATTAGTAAATTCAAACTTCGCTTATCATTTATATGTAATCTTCAGGCCATAGTAAATGTATTTTGATAAACTAAAAACGTGACTCACATGAAAATACAGCTGAAGATAACTTATAATTAATAAGCAAAGTTTGTTATAAACGTGATGAGAAATCGAGTAGTTATTTAAAAAGGTTATAGATTTAATTGTGAATTTATATGGTTAGGAATTTCAAGAGTAAATTATAGTTATTTTTATTTTATTCAATTCGTAACTAGTCTTTTTAGAGAGGCAAAAGGACCTATATTTATACAATATTGTTCACGAAGGCTATTCTAAGCAGGTTCTATATTATTAAGTCGCTCATATCTTTATGAGCAGTTGCTTCGCTTGTGTTTAAGCCATCCTAAGGTAACACGAAGCCACATTGCTCACATCGTTATACAATTCCATTAAATTAAGGCTTATTGGATATATGCCTTAGCCCCACTGCTCACTCTAATGTTTACATAGATTATTATCACAATTCTTAAACGTAAATAAAGGTATGAGCAGTCTAATAAACAAATAACTATGTAAAGTATAATTGAAATAATTAAAGGCATGATAATAATAAAATAATAAACGAATCTGATCAATTCTGTCATTCGTTTAATGGCTAGCTTGCTTTAGACAGGCAGGAAATCACTAGCCTGTATTACATTAACTAGTCAGCAATGCCTTGGCGCAATTGTTATTATTAATCTCTGGGTCACATTGCCGTCTTAGTTATATATAACTTATATAATTTTTATTATATATCGCAGCTATAATAAATAATAAATTTATTGCCAGCGCATTTTGGTGAACCGGTTTACTCCTGGCACATTTACTGACTAAGCGTATTTATACTTTTCGAGTTTATACGTATCAAATGGGATTTAGTTGGTATTCTACCAAAATTAGGCATGTATACAATTGTGAAAAAAATTATAAATTCATAACTATAGTCATATTGCAGATCATTTTACCAGATTTATAATTGTTTCGTTCTAGATCTGGCCAAATGATCTGCAAATTTGGCCAGAATTATGAACGATAAGTTTCTCCATATATCAGACGATGCAGACCATGCAGACCCGCTAATATGATTGTATACTGAATTATGCAATGATTATTATTATTATCAACCAGGATATTAAAAATCTGGCATCGGCTAGCCGGTCGGCTAAGCTGCTCGGTCGGCTAATATCGGCTACGGCTATAGCCGGCTATAGCCGGCTATAGCCGTAGCCGATTCCATCCCTAGTCGGTATAAAGATAATTTATTAATCAGTGTAATTAAAATCAGCAAATCATGAATACAAATGTTATTTATCTCATACCTTCAAATAATTCTATTCACATTAATTTAATTGTAGTATAAAAATATTTATTAATCAGTGTAATTAAAAATCGGCAAATCATGAAGCCAAATTAATACTCTTCAAATCATTTAATTCAATTTAATAGTCAGTGAGTATGAAAAAATTTATTAATAATCAGTGGAAATAAAACCTAATACAAATACTTACTTAGTGCTCTTCATTTTATTTCATTTATTTTAATTATTCGGTGATATAAACAAATACTTATTACCTAATACCTTCGGATCATTTCAATCGCTTTAAATAATTTGGTAAGTATAAAGATGATTTATCAATCAATGGAATTAAAATCAGCAAATCATAAGACAAATACTTATTTACTTAATACCCTTCAAATAGTTTCATTCGCTTTAATTTAGTCAGTAAATATAATAATCTTTGAAATTAAAATTAGCAAATCATGAATACTTATAGTAATTCTATAATAACTCATTACTTTGCATTTACTTTAAACCAATAATATATCTAACGTATTCCTAGTTATGTGAAACTATTTGCGTAACTATTTTATGAGTAACCTATGCTGAGACATATAAGCAACTTGAATTGTGACAATATACGTAACTCATTCTTGAAAAATAAAAAAAGTTTAGGGGTCAATTACGATATTCGTAGCTTTGCATAGTAAATTCTTACAGGTAGTTCGAAACTTGTCATCTTATTCTTACAGGGTAGATCGAAACTTGTAATCTTATATTATTAGATGATTCATTCACATGATATAAATGTACCGTACTTTACTGTGCATCTAAAACCTCTTGTTGAATTTCATATAAATCAATGACAAAATTAACGCCAACAACTGTGCCAGGCACAAATACAGCATATTCTGCAGGAACTCCCCTAATGATTGGAGGGTCATAGAAAGCATCCGAGATCGGAATGGTCACTTGAAAGGCATTTAGATTCAAAGCATTACAACCAGTAGGTGTAGGTGTATTATTATTATATTGTATAGTACCGAAATCCCACTATTATATTAAAAAAGTCACTTTATCCTTCTCACATTTGATCATAGGAATATAACAGTGTATTAATCTTACCTCCTTGACATATACTCCTGCTCCCTCTAAAGTTACATCTGCTGATAATACACTCCCTGCTGATGCTCCACGCGTCCATAGCCTAGCCTAATATTAAAAAAAAAATCTTAGTGATGAAACTAATCGAATAATGAACAGGTGTTAGACATACAGGACATACAATCATTTGCCGATGAACAGTTATTCCTATAATTTTTTTAGGATAAATCTTAATGCCAAATACACAGCGCACATATTTTTCATGCATCCATGCTTCGCATTTTGTATTCCAGTAGTCAATGCTTTGCGCGTTAGCTACCTCACAAATGAATCTCGCGTGAGGACGACCCTAAATATAATTTTATTAAGAAATTTGCCTAAATAAACATTATAATAAAATAATAACTCAAAGTACATTTACGTCTCCAGGGGGAGGACCAGGATGTAAAATTAATGGTTGTGAAACATGAGCATTATTTGGACAAACCGCGATATCTGGTGCTATTTTTCCCCATGGCCAATTGGATTATAATGAACTATATGAAAAAATGCGAATTTTTATTTATAAGCCAAAAGATTAATCAGATTAAATAGAAATCTTTTACATGGTTGGCCTAAGATCTTTAACGGACCACGCTTTACACCATTGTTTGGAACTCTAAAACATTCTTGAAGATATGATACAACAGCTTCATGTTCTCGGTTTGCCATATCAATAATATATACATTATTGTTTTCCCAATAAAACTTATATCCAATTTTTTCGTTTCGATCAAGAAAAATGTTATAATTTTTCACTGAAATTTTCGATCCAATCTGTAAGGGCAGACTGAAAACCATGTCAAGATTGAGCAGATCATAAAGAAATCAGCGCGAGGGCATACCCACCTATCTTCTCTTGGGAGCGTTTTTGGTAACTCAGGATAGTTATGAACCATGCTATCAACCTTTTTCTTTACTTTCCTTACTGCTGATTTCCAACCAGGGCTTGAAGAGGTTAAGGAAGACATTTTGAAGAGGGATTTCTTGCTAAAATGACGAAAATGATCAATAATTTTTTTTACTGATCATAATTTTGGGATCTTTGCTAGGAAAATCGAGTTACGGGACATAGTAAATCATATGTCCCGTGACTTGATTTTCATAGCAAAGATCCCATTTGTCCGATCCGGTATAATACGTCATTATGATGTAATAAAGAATTGCCGGCAAAAATCACCAAAATTACTTTCCTCAACATAAAAATACGTAACGAATAATGATAATGAGTAAGTAGTGAGACCCCGCACTTTAAATACCTGCAGAAATGTTAAGAAATATTACCTCGAAAATAAGATGTGAAAATATAAGCCTTTTATCGATAAAAAAATATAAGAGCAATGATAACTCGGTTTAAAAGCGGAACCACCGTTCATTCGTTAGATCTAAAAGACAAACCAGCCAGAAAAAAAAATACACGATAGTAATTATATTACTTAAATACAACAACTCGTACAGTGACCATCAAAATTTTCCGCATTCCGCTATACTCAATTAATTTAATTAGAAATCAGCTGATTTCTTAGGGGGGTGGGTGTTAGGCGGTGAATCTACGGACAGTTCTTAGGGACAGTGCTATGTGACTGACATTACCAATATACACCTACTCTAACCCTAA